GGGGGTTTCACCATGTTGACCAGGATGGTCTGGATCTCTTGACCTCGTGATCCACCCGCCTCGGCCTCCCAAAGTGCTGGGATTACAGGCTTGAGCCACCGCGTCCGGCCAGTCATCTCTATTTTTTTAAAAATTTAAATTAAAAAAATATAACAATAAAAATAAGAATGGGACTTTGAATATAAAGGAGTTTTAGAAATACTTTTACCAATTAATTTGCTTATATATTTATTTTTATTGCATGCATGCATAAGAGTGATATATAACAAATTATACATCTAAAGTCTAAAAGAATTATTTCAATAAATGTAACATAAAAATTCTAAATGAAAAACACACACACACACACACACACACACACACACTCTGTAGGTACCATGTTCAAAGTTTGGCTCCTGCCCTCCACCTTCACTGGCAGCATCTTAGAAAAACCAAACCGTTGCTCATTTGATCTTGATAGCTTCCTAGCTCATCCCCTGCCTTCTATGCTTGCCCCTCTGTTGTCTGTTTGCAACAGAGCAGGCAGAATCATCGTATTAAAAGATAAGTCAGACCCCTTCACAGCTTTTGTCTAAAACTCGCAGTTTTCCATCTCAGAGTGAAAGCCAAAGGCCTCGCTTTGCAGATTCCTCATGAACTGACCACATGCATCCTTTTTTTTTTTTTTTTTAAAGTAAGACTTCAGCATTTTCATACTTCAAGCATCCTCTTCCTAATTTTTTTACTATCTCCACTAATGAGTATAAGCAATCTTTTTTTTTTTTTTTTTAATTTATTTTGAGATAGAGTCTTTCTCTGTCGCCAGGCTGGAGTGCAGTGGCAAGATCTCAGCTCACTCCGCCTCCCAGGTTCAAGTGATTTCCCTGTCTCAGCCTCCCAAGTATATGGGACTATAGGTGCACACGACGATGCTCAGCGAACTTTTTGTATCTTAGTAGAGATGGGGTTTCACAATGTTGGTCAGTATGGTCTCGATCTCCTGACTTAAAGTGCTGGGATTACAGGTGTGAACCACTGTGCCTGGCCATGAGTGGTTTAAACTATCATTTTTAAATCAAGGCCGGCTGAGACAACTTGGAAATTATAATTTCTCCTAATACACTACTTTCTAAGCATATTTTTAATATACATAATTATTTTTATTAATGCAAATTGTAGCATACTATACACAGTCAGCAGCTTGCTTTTTTGATATGCCTAGGCTTGCCTCATTTTTGCAAACAGCTACATGCTTTTGCGTCCTACAGATGGGGCATAATTAGATTTTATTACTCTTGTACAAAAAAAAAAAGGAATTCAGCTTCCCAAGCATGCCCAGCTGGTCCCTGGCAACCCATGATGGAAACCAAGGGTTCCTTTTATATTACCTGTGGGCCTTTCAGAGCAGAAGGGCCAGAGGGCTCCAGGCTGAGTGAAAGGGAGGAAGTATGAGGGGGTTTGTGGAAGAGAGGCCCGTGCCATGTGATTGGACCATGCTTCTGAAGAGGATCAGGGTGAGGCCCAGTCTCATCAGCTGACCCTTGAGCAACAAGAGTCTGAACTGCTCAGCTCCACTTACTGCAGATTTAAAGAAGTAAACGTCACGCAGCATGCCTACCTCTCCTGCTTTGCCTTTTACCTCCTCCACCTCTGCCACCCTGAGACAGCAAGACCAACCCCTCCCTCCCTCCTCCTCCGCCTACTCAGCATGAAGACAAGGATGAAGACCTTTATGATGATCCACTTCCACTTAATGAATAGTAAATGGATTCATGTATTTTCTCAAAGTTTTCTTAATATTTTCTTTTCTTTAGCTTAATTCATCATAAGAATAGAGTATATAATACATATAATGTACAAAATATGTGTTAATTGACTATGTTATTGGCAAGGCTTCCAGACACTGAGTAGTTTTTTTCTCTCTGAGACAGTGTCTCGCTCTGCCACCCGGGCGGGGGTGCAGTGGCATAATCTTGGTTCACTGCAGCCTCAACCTCCTTGGCTCAAGCAGTCCTCCCACTTCACCCTCCCAAGTAGCTGGAACTATGGGCTCATGCCACCACATCCAGCTAATTTTTCTGTTTTCTGTAGAGACGCGGTTTCGCCATGTTGCCCAGGCTGGTCTCTAAGTGATCTGCCCACCTCAGCTTCCCAAAGAGCTGGGATTTCAGGTGTGAGCCACCATTCCTGGCCCAGTAGTTAAGTTTTGGGGAAGTCAGAAGTTACACGCAGATTTTCTTTTTTGTCGTTGTTGAGCCAGTCTTGCTGTCAACCAGGCTGGAGTGCAGTGGCATGATCTTGGCTCACCGCAACTTCTGCCTCGTGGTTTCAATAGATTCTCCTGTCTCAGCCTCCTGAGTAGCTGGGATTACCGGTGCCTGCCTCCATGCGTGGCTAATTTTTGTATTTTTAGTAGAGACGGGGTCTTACCGTGTTGGCCAGGCTGTTCTGGAACTCCTGACCTCATTTGATCTGCGTGCCTCGGCCTCCTACAGAGTGCTGAGATTACAGGTGTGAGCCACCTTGCCCGGCCCATATAGAGGTTTTCAGCTGAGCTGGAGACCAGTGCCCCCAGCCCCCTCATTGGACAGGAGTCAGCTGGATGAAGCACCTTCAGTATACAGGGCTCTGGTCTGGTTCTCTTTTTTTTATTTTAAATCATCAAACCCTATGAGGAAAGTCCTGTTACTTGCTCCCATTTAGCATTCTTGAAGAGGCTAATTTGCCTAAGATCAAGAGCTGGTCAGTGACAGCTGAGGTTCAAACATATGTTTTTTGACTTGAGAACCTACAGGCTTAACCACCATTACAAAACCATCTCTAGTCATGAGGCACCTGGAATTTGTGGCGCTTGGACTCCATCCTGAAGGGAGTGAAAACTTATGGAAGGGTTTTTTTCCTTCTGTGTTTTCCCCTTCCTGATGAAAAATGTGTGTTCAAGATACAAAAATGCATAAAATTTGGCCGGTCGCAGGGTAATCCAAGTGTAATCTCACACCTGTAATCCCAGCACTTGGGGAGGCTGAGGCAAGCGGATCACTTGAGCCTAGGAATTCGAGACGAGCCTGAACATGGTGAAACCCTGTCTTTAAAAAAAAAAGCATAAAACAGAACAAGGTGGTTTTTAAGATATGGAAGTACAATGCAGATGATAATAATGGCGATGGGAGCTAACACAGGGCGCTTTCTTTGTGCCAGACACTCCCCTAAGCACTTTAGATAGACTCAGTCCTCACAAGCAAGTTTATGAGGGAGGCACCACTGTCATTCCCCGTTTCACAGCGGAGGACACTGAGGCACAGAGTGATTGGGAAACTTGTCGAAGTCACTGCAGCTAGCAAGTGATGATGTGACATTTGAATCCAGACATCGAGATGGTGTGGATGCCGTGGAAGAGAAAGGGGTGGGTGGGACCGCTTCCTGAGGAGATACTGCCTGCCTGCCGAGGCAGCGGCGTACAGAACTGAAGAACACAGTGGAGACAGACCATCGCATCCAGTGTGGAGAGACGGGTATACAAAGACAATAACCAGACTAAATATGAAAAGAGAACTCCAGGCGGGGCGTGATCACTCACGCCTGTAATCCCTGCCCTTTGGGAGGCTGAGGCGGGTGGATCACTTGAGGTCTGGAGTTTGAGACCAGGAGTTCGAAACCCCGTTTCTACTAAAAATACAAAAATTAGCCTGGCATGGTGGTGGGCGCCCACACTCCTAGTTACTCGTGAGGCTGAGGCATGAAAATCGATTGAACCAGGGAGTCGGAGGTTGCAGTGAGCCGAGATCTCGCGCCGCTGTACTCCAGCCTGGGTGACAAGAGAGAAACTCCATCTCAAAAATAAATAAATAATAAACTACTGATACTACTATTAATATTTCTTAAGCGAGAATTTGATAATAGTACCGTTTGGTGGGAGGGGCGGGGCACCTTCTCTGAGAGTGCTCCGTAACACAAGTATATACTGAGGATTGAGTAAATACATTTAAAATTCTTAGTATGTGCCACACAGCGTTCCAGAATGCCACATTATTGTTAGTGATAGAAATAGTCTCGGCTGGGCGCGGTGGCACACGCCTGTCATCTCAGCACTTTGGGGGGCCAAGGCGGAAGGACCTCTCGAGGCCAGGAGTTCGAGACCAGCCTGGGCAACGTAGCAAGACGCCGACTGTACGGGGGAAAAAAAGTTACCCGCGCGTGGTGGCGTGTACCTTTAATCCCATCTACTCCGGAGGAGGTGAGAGGATCGCTCGAGCCCGAGAGGTTGGTCGGGGCTGCAGTGAGCAGAGATCATGCAACTGCACTCCGGCTTGGGCGACAGAGCGGGACCCTGTCTCAAAAAGAAAGAGAGAAAACCACAGTCCAGAGGTGGAGAACGAAGGTTCTCCCCACTGCTCAAGTAGCCACTCCTTAGCCGGAAGAAAGCTAGTCGTCCCAGTTTGGCACGCCGCTCTAGCCCAGACTCACATCTCGACTGCTTCTCCGCCAGCCAACGCCTCCTCTGATTGGCTCAGACGTGCGTTGTGCGTGATAAGGTCACGAGGCGCCGCCGTTACTATAAGAGCGCAGCTGTGTCGCGTGCGCGTCTCTTTCCCAGTGACCGGGTCCTGTAGTTAGGTGAGGTGTCGTGATGTGCTTTCTGGCTAGGGTTTGGGTTGGATGTTCGCGCGGGCCTTCCGAGCTTCCATGAGCAAGCTAAAGACATTAGGGATCAGAGCAGTGTGGCTGAATGGGAAAGCGGCACGGTTGTTGGGGCGGATACTGATTATGAAAGCTTTTGAGGTGCTTCTCGCGAGATCCAATCTGGGCGCCGAGAGGTTTTGGCACAGTCGTGAAACTGCGCTGGCGCCACCTAGAGCCTTCATTTTCCAACTTTCTTTCCGCGCAGGCGCAGACGGGTAAGCGGAGCCAGCATGCCAGTGGCCCGGAGCTGGGTTTGTCGCAAGACTTATGTGACTCCGCGGAGACCCTTCGAGAAATCTCGTCTGGACCAAGAGCTGAAGCTGATCGGTGAGTGACCAAGCCTTCCGAGAGGCGGTTAGCACGTGGATGACGGTGCCCACGTGCCCAATCTAGTCTGCCCTCTAAATTTGGCACTGTTCGTGGTTTAGAAAGCTTTTGTATCCAAAATTGCCAGCCTAGTTTTTGTACTAATCTCCGATACTAAACTTGTCCATCCCGTTCTCCCCACCATATGCAGGCGAGTATGGGCTCCGGAACAAACGTGAGGTCTGGAGGGTCAAATTTACCCTGGCCAAGATCCGCAAGGCCGCCCGAGAGCTGCTGACACTTGACGAGAAGGATCCACGGCGTCTTTTCGAAGGTGCGTATGGGAGCCCACAGCAGAGGGATGGACCGCAGGGCTTGTGAGGTTCATTGTCCCTTCTAGTTCCTCTGTTCCAATGATGGGAGTTGTGTCATTGGACAAACAGAGACAGGCTTTCAACTTGGTGAGGTTTTTTTTTGTTTTTATTTATTTTTTTAAAGATGGGGTTTCACCATGATGGCCAGGCTGGTCTTGAACGCCTGACCTCAGGTGATCCACACACCTCGGCCACCCAAAGTGCTAGGATTACAGGCGTGAGCCACTGCGCCCAGCTTAACGTGGTGTTTTAATGGGACTTGTGGAGTAGGAAAAGTGGAGCTGGATCAGTCTTTGCCCTGTTTCTTAGCTGTGTGGCTTTTGTTACCCAGTTCCTGGACCTTCAGTTTAGTAACGACCAGAGCTAAAGAGAGGCCTGGCACACTTGGGCATCTGCCTATATCTTTATAGGATGTCGCAAAAACAATTCTGATCATGTGGCCTCTTTGCTAGTGGTGAGAGTAGACTGTGAAGTCGAATTTTTGGAATGAGTGATGGTGATAAGAGTTCACATTTGCTTGCTTATTTTTTTAAAACTTATTTTTGAGACAGTCTCACTCTGTTGCCCAGGTTGGAGTGCAATGGCAGGATCTCGGCTCACTGCAACCTGCGCCTCCTGGGTTCAAGCAGTACTACTGCCTCAGCGTCTCAAGTAGCTGGGATCACAGTCATGCGCCACCATGCAGAGCTAATTTTGTATTTTTAGTAGAGACCGGGTTTCCCCATGTTGGCCAGACTGATGCTTGCTTTATTAAGCTGATGAAGGACATTCAGGTAGCATTTAGCAAAGGCCTGAACAGGAGAGAATCTGTTAAATGTCTCAGGGAACAGCATTTCAGGTTATGACTTTGGGAGGGTATGCAGATCATATAGACTTTGGCTTACTTTACTAATTGTGGTGAAATAGACATTAACATGAAAATTTGTCACCTTAACCATTTGTTTTAAGATCTCGAGTTTCTGCTGTGAGATGCAGTGTTGCTGGAGTGCTTTCTACAGCAGATTGGCACGACCAAGATTGACATTAGTATATCCTGAGACACTGCATTTGCCTGAGCTTGGGTAGTCATGATTTATGGTGAAAAGCAGAGTCTACACCTGAGCCCTGACTGTTAGGCATGAGAGAGTGGTCGTCCATATTGGACATCAAGAAAGCCCTGGAGCATGCTTAGCCACAGATTATCACAGTGCCCCAGGCCTGCAGAGGGTACAAGCTTCCTTTTCTTTTATTTTTTTTAAATAGGGACAGGATCTTGCAATGTTGCCCAGGATAGGATGGTTTCCAACTCCTGGCCTCAAGTGATCTTTCTGCCTCAGCCTTGCAAAGTGCTGGGATTACAGGTGTAAGCCACTGCACCAGACCCTTTCATTCTTTTTCTTAGATTGTAGGCCCCTTTGACAATTTCATGAAAGTGCTGGAGTTGCCACCCCCAAGGTTACTGCTAATTGGATGGGAGTTTATCCCAGCGTCCTGTGGCGAGTGGGCTATATAGCTGGTTCTGGTTTTAGGGAGGACTTTGTTAATACAGAGCCTAAGAGCAGTGAAACTTAGTTATGTGAGAAAGCGCTGCAGGTGTCTGACGGTTATTTGTGGTTTTCCAAGGCAGAAGTGAAAGATCCCAAGGGGTAGACAGCTCTTCAGGTAGGTACACTTTCTAGTAACTGAAGCCATCTAGCCTAACCAGGGACAGGAAGCTTAGCCAGCTTTGATGTTTGCTCTTTGGTATAGTCGTGCCTTGATTCAGGTCCAGTATTTCCTGCTAAGATATATGACTAGCAAGATTCTGAGTCTCATCTGTTAGATTGAATAGCTGTTAAGGTTTGGCTGCCAGTTAATAACCAACGGAGGCCGGGTGAGAGAATCACCTGAGGTTAAGAGTTCAACACCAGCCTGGCCAACATGGTGAAACCTCATCTCTACTAAAAATACAAAAATTAGCTGGATGTGGTGGTGGGCGCCTGTATTCCCAGCATATGAACTCTTAACTAACCATTGTTTTGTTAGGGTAGTGGGAGCTTAATCGCAGCTGCACTTGGTCTTTTGCAGACTGAGTCCTTGTAAGGAAATCTTATTTAGTCTTGCTAAGAATGTGGAGCAAAGGATGTTATTCTCAGGTGCATTTGCCCTCCTGTCTCCTGCCAGGTTACTATGGATGATAGCCATAGCCTGGTTGTGTGTGTGTGAGATAGGGTTTCACTCTGTCACCCAGGCTGGAGTGCAGTGGCTCCATCTCAAGTCACAGCAACCTCTGCCTGCGGGTTAAAGCGATTTTCCTGCCTCAGCCTCCTGAATAGCTGGGATTACAGGCATGCGCCAACAGCCTGGCTAATGATTTGTCTTTTTAGTAGACGTGGGGTTTCGCCATGTTGCCTACTACTGACCTCAAAGTGCTGGGATTACAAGCATGGTTTTGACGATGACCTGGGTCACAGTGACTGGTGCATTGAGTCTTATCAGACTTACCCCTGCTTGCTAATGCGGCTGTGCCTCACCACCACGAATGGAGCCTAAGAGGAGGAGCCAGGATTTGAACCCCAGAAGCTGAATCAGTGCTTCCTTCCACTCTTCCCAGGCAATGCTCTGCTGCGGCGGCTGGTCCGTATTGGGGTGCTGGATGAGGGCAAGATGAAGCTGGATTACATCCTGGGCCTGAAGATTGAGGATTTCTTAGAGAGACGCCTGCAGACCCAGGTCTTCAAGCTGGGCTTGGCCAAGTCCATCCACCACGCTCGCGTGCTGATCCGCCAGCGCCATATCAGGTACCACCTCTTGTGGGCGTCGGGATCTTCCTCCATGCTGCCCTCTGATGGTTGCCCTCACTAAGCCTGCTGTCCCTATCTCCTGCAGCCCTCGGAGGTGATGGGTGTGAGCTCACCCTGAGGGTTCAGATTCACCCTTGCACACAGCACACAGCTCACGTCCCAAAAGCCCAGCGCAAGGGTCACTGCGGCTCTAGCCGTACACCTTGTGAAGGCCTCTGCCAGGCATGTGGGCAGCTGGACAGGTAACAGCTCTTGGCCTCCCCAGTGGAGGGAGAGAACCAGCCTCCTCGCTTGGGTGGTGGGTTCAGCTGTCTCCTGGGCTCGCCTCTTAAGTCAGTTCCAGACCCTATTCCGTGATTGCATTCTGGGTACTTGGGGTGCCCTTTCTGTAACGTGGCACCATTGAGAGGGAGGAGCTGTGCAGGAAGAGGCCAAGATGTTTACATTTAGAATCTCCACCTCAGCCCTTCACTAACTCTGTGAGCCGTGGGCAGAGCCTTCTGTGTGATGCCTTCATTGTGGACGTAGCCTCGGGTTGCTGTGTTATGGTGGGCATTGCCGCTGTGCGTGGTAAAGCTCAGTGCCATGTGTGGGGTTGAGTGTTTCACACTCTGGGTGTTTAATGGCCACCACATTTGCTTTGTGATCTTATGTGGGATACTTTGGAATTTCTCCTACTAAATGTGGTTGAGAAACTCATCTAAAGCATTTTTGGGGGTGAAGGTGATGCCCTAAGACCCTGGACTCACATGAGGCCCACAGGATCAGGAGCGGCCTTCCGGCAGTGCCTGGATGTCTGCAGCCCTAGCAGCAGCGTGGCTGCCTCACGGGCCGAATGGAGAGGAGAGGCACCTCCGCTGGGCTTGCTCCATTTCTCCCCAGTCCACTTAACTCCTGTCCCCTCTTCCAGGGTCCGAAAGCAGGTGGTGAACATCCCGTCCTTCATTGTCCGCCTGGATTCCCAGAAGCACATCGACTTCTCCCTCCGCTCTCCCTACGGGGGTGGCCGCCCGGGCCGCGTGAAGAGGAAGAATGCCAAGAAGGGTCAGGGCGGTGCTGGAGCTGGGGATGATGAGGAGGAGGATTAAGCCCACCTGTCCCCCTATTGGGTTCGTGAATTGCCGAGTTTTCCTGCTGAATAAACAGGATTAGCGCTTTATATAATTGGTGTGTTTGTGTCTCCTCCTTGACTCTTAACTCTGCTCTGACCTTGCTGCCTTCTCTAGGAAGCTCAGGGGACAGCTCACTCACTTCTGGGTGTTGAGATGCCCGGGAATGCCTACCAGATGGTGGGCCCTGGCCTCAGTACAGTACGAGAGACAGTATTTTGGGAAAAACAGCACCAGAAGGAAATTCCAAGTAAGCCAGCATTTGCATATAGTATAGAAGGGAGTCATTTCCAGGCAGGGGAGGCAAGTGGAGGTGGGGCCTGCCCTGGCTGTTGGCCCTTTGACCCTGACCCCAGGAGAGAAGTGGAATGGGAGCTGAGGCCGGCCTGGTTGCTGGAGAAGGTAGACTGTGTTAGTGGTTGTTTGGCTGGGCAGCGCTTCACAGAACTGCGGGCTTGTGTCAGAGCTCGTGATGTGGGTGATGCTGGGCAAGTTCCCAGCTTTGTCTTCACTTGCAGGGGAAGTGGGTTAGTGTAGGGGAGGGTTGTTGAGGAACTCTTCCTCCTACCCACGTTTGGTGTTTCTGTAGACTCATGGTCAGGAGGTTAGGCTTCCGTTTTCTCTGCCTTGTTGATGAGCTGTGTCAGGATGGGTTTGGTTTCTGAGGAAGTGAGAAACTTGAAATCCTGCAACCCTCTCAGGCCCTAGTGGATGGGGTCCTTGTCTGGAGGCCTTCAGTCTTTGAAGGTCAGGGCAGCTTCTATACAGGGACAGCTCTGGAACGCAGCTGAGTTCTGTAAACCCTGCGGAGAAGTCTAAGTCCATTGCAGCTTGCTTGAGCTAGGTGGTCAGCCCTTCTCTCCGAGTTGCCGCTTGGGGAATGATGGTGGTCTTGTTGGACGTTCGTGGGGCCAGCTGCTGCACCTTCTGGGGTCACTGGTCTCTGGAGCGTGGGGTCTGGGTCTTGTCCTGGCCTGGTGGATGGCCAGAGCAGCGGACTCACTGGGCTCCCCGGGAGGAAGAGAGTGCAGTTGCCTCTGGTCTGAGAGCTGGTGGCTCATCTGGGTGCAGCTCACGTCCTGTGGAGTTCCAGACGCAGCAGCCTGGAGGGAAGGGAGGGGGAGGGGAAGGATGCAGTTCTGCTGTGGAAAAGTCTATGGGCTTGGGAAGGAAAGGATGCGCTCCCTGGGGTCTTCATCTTCAGGGCTCTTCCTATAGAGGCAGTGAGTGGGAGGATTACAGGTGTGAGTCACAGTGCCTGGCCTGCTGGGTCTCCCTTTCCTGGTGAGCTCCTTAGACCACTGCCCCATCTCATTCCCTCCCTCGTCCCTCATCACCAGGGATGACCCTGAACCCAGGGTCCTGAGCAGGTAACAGGATGGGGACTGGGCAGGGGCTTCTCACCTGCAACCAGGATATTGGGTGGGGGTGGCAGGGGCCAACCTAGGGCAGGAGATGTGTCCACCTCAGCATCTGTGCTGGCCCCCTGGGTGTGGCTCACAGGGCCCAGGAGGAAGTCGGGAATGTGCTGCCCACATAGGCACTGGGGGGTTCGGAGCCCCTGGTCCTCATCAACGCAGAGCTGTCAGATCTGGCCTCAGTGACGCTGGGGGCTCAGGCTGTCTCCAGTGAGTTCCAGCGAGCCTGGCTGTGCTGAGGGAGGGCTGTGGGCTGCCTGTGTGCCCCTGAGAGGAGGTGACTGGTGTTAAGGGGATACATTCTGTGGTCCACACTCTGTGGGGAGAGTTCTCAGGGTCTCAACTCCATGTCTTCTGCCTGTGGTTCTGGCCCAAGAGGTTAGTGTCACCAACCACCCTATGTCCACCTGAGGCTTCCCTGAACACACAGCAGGGAGATGGGCAATGAGGTGGTGCTTGTGGCCCTGCCTGTCATGGTCCCTGGCAGTGCAGATGAATTAGACCACTGAGCCCACAGAGCCTGGAGGGGAACAGCCCCTCCCCCAGGGCCTTGCTCTGCTCCCCCTGAAGGATGGGGCTGAGGGGAGAGCAGGCTCTGGGGGCCTTTCAGACCACATCTGAGTCACGTTTGACTCCCCCACGCTCTGCCTGCCTCCACCTTGCCAAACCCAAATCCAGGGTGACCCCTGTTCTAGCACAGAGGCCAGAGAGGGCAAGGCCTTAGGACACAGCCCAGTCACGGTTCTAATTCTAGACGCAGGTGCCTTCCCTGTCCCGATCTCTGCATCTTTTCTCTCATCAGCCTCACGATCAGGCGAAGTTTATTGAGCGGTTACCACATCCAGGCTTGCTGCCAGGAGGAGGGGAGTGGTGGGCGAGGCCCGTAGGATTCCTGCTGGACCCATGGAGCCTGCATTAATGAAGTGTGGACCCAGTTGCCAGGTGACGTGCTGATCACGATTCTTTTTGTTTTTGAGACGGGGTTTCACTGTGTCTCAGGCTGGAGTGCAATGGCGCAATCTAGGCTCACTGCAACCTCCATCTCCTGGGTTCAAGCGATTCTCCTGCCTCAGCGTCCTGAGTAGCTGGGACTACAGGCGTGCACCACCACGCCTGGCTAATTTTTGTATTTTTAGTGGATACCAGGTTTTACCATGTTGGTCAGGCTGGTCTCAAACTTCTGACCTCAGGTGACCTTCCTGCCTCGGCCTCCCAAAGTGCTGGGATTACAGGTGTGAGCTACCATGCCCAGTCAAATAAAGTCATATTTAGGGGGAAAGAAAACTAAGAAAATTTGTTTCCA